AGGTTCCCCAACCCCCCCCCCCGCTGTGTTCTACTCCCTACCTATTTTGGGCAACATAGGGAAATGGTACTCGACACACTTGTGTGTCGGTGCCTTTCCCTGTGTTGTTCCTGTTCTAGTCTATCCTACCCGGGCGGTCTAAGACTAAAGTCCCGCTCCCTAACTAGTGCACCTAATTCGCCTCGTCTAAGTATTCAGTAAATCTAGAGTGCTAGGTATTCAAACACACACATGGACATACACCCCCTCCCTGCCCCCCGCTTTCCTTCTTGCGCTTTTCGTCGTTTGTTGGGCTTTCTTTCAGGCTTTTTAGGTTGTTCTTGAGGTTCGTTTCCCTACCCCAGTCAAGGGCTAAGTATTCACCTTTTCATTTTTCTACACCTATCTTTCTTTCTTCCCCTCTTAGCGCTGCTCTTTCTGTCTTTCTTTCCTTTTGTTTCTAAGGCTTTTTAGGTGACTATTCAGGTTTTTCACATGCGCGCCGCAAAGCGGCGCCGTATGTGTGCCACCGTTCTTTGAAAAAGCGCCGAAGCCGGCGATTTGTGTGTGTCCACCCCTGGACAAAGGGTTCACAACCAACTTCGGCAGGGGGGCCAGGCCTGTCACATCCAACCTGGCCCAACGAAGCTGGGATGTGACAGGGGAAGCACCAAAGGACGCTTTGGTGTGTACCTGCCACAACTTTTGCACAAGCTGTCCAATCCGATCGGTTTGATTCATGGTGGTTGCATGTCCCCTCCCACAAACAGGTTTTCCACCACCCTTCTCAGCCGCTCGTGAGCTGCAGCCGACCGCGCGAGAGTTTGCCACTGCAGTCACGCACAAACAACTTGTTCAACCTTCAAGTGAACTGACTTTCTCGCCATGCCGTTCTCTCACCATTTTCGACCTGGGAACTGAGTTCACTGAATACAAGTGTCAGAGTGTGTGTCAACCCCTGTCTCAAAGGGACCTATCCTAGCTATCTATTTTCACCTGAGACGGATCTTTCATGTTTGCACAGCACAACAGCAGGGGGCTGGAGTGTGCTTCAGATGTCTCCAGCCAACGAAGACGCATCTGTTGCACTGTGATATAGTTCTGGGACGCCAGAACTACGTACCTGCTGAATGATCACTTTCACGTTTCACCCATGTTGAAACCTTCTGTTTGACCGACTCAGCATTTTCCTTTTTAGTCAAGGTCTAACTTGCAGTAACACTAAAGTGCTAATGCTCACCGCGAATAGCCTGAAGCTGAGCTCCACAGAGCAGCCTTCTCACGTTTCACCCATGTTGAAACCTTCTGTTTTGACCGACTCAGCATTTTCCTTTAGTCAAGGTCTAATTTGCAGTAACAGTAAAGTGCTAATGCTCACCGCGAATAGCCTGAAGACAAGCTCCACGGAGCAACCTTCTCAAGTGTGTTTCGCAGCTTCTTCCCACTGTGGTAAGCTGTGTGAACCCTACGGGGCGCTGTTACCGAGAGAACCTTCTCACTCCTCACCGAGGAAGTAATTTCTCTGAAGTTTTCTGAAGTTCTACCGACTGAATCTTCCTGTTTGAAATCCGCTTGCTTGAATCGTCTCACCTCGTACACGTGAATTTCACTGCAGAGTTCACTGAATTACTTACTGAATCTGACTGCAGAGTTCCACTGAATCATGTTTCACCCGGGAGATGTCTTTACCAATTTTTCAAGTTCCAGTTTCAATTTTTTGACAAAGCGCCGATTCGGCTTCTCGGACAGTGCCTACGGGAAACTGCCGTTCGCTCGCAAGAGCATCCATGGACCTTGAGTCCGTTTACCGTACCCTGCACCCCCTGCACCTTTGCTTGTCTTTCCTTGCCTTTTCGTTTGTTTTGTTCCTTCCTTCAGGCTTTTTAGGTATGACCAGGCTCGTTTAGTCAACGCACGCCCTGCCCCCCCCCCACACCCCCTGCACCTTTCTCTTCTTTCCTTGCCTTTTCGCTTGTCTTGTTCTTTTCTTCAGGCTGGTTAGGTGGCAACCAGCCTCGTTTAGTCAATGCACGCCCGAACACCCCTTCACGTTTTGGCGGAGGAAAAGCAAAAAGAAAAATGCACGGAACAAAGACAAGGACCAATGACTGAATCAGCAAAACGAAGCGGTCACACCTATGCTAGATGCGCCGGATTCGGCTTCCTGTGTGTGTCAACCCCTGTCTCGAAGGGACCTATCCTAGCTATCTATTTTCACCTGAGACGGATCTTTCATGTTTGCACAGCGCAACAGCAGGGGGCTGGAGTGTGCTTCAGATGTCTCCAGCCAACGAAGACGCATCTGTTGCACTGTGATATAGTTCTGGGACGCCAGAACTACGTACCTGCTGAATGATCACTTTCACGTTTCACCCATGTTGAAACCTTCTGTTTGACTGACTCAGCATTTCCTTTAGTCAAGGTCTATCTTGCAGTAACACTAAAGTGCTAATGCTCACCGCGAATAGCCTGAAGCTGAGCTCCACGGAGCAGCCTTCTCACGCTTCACCCATGTTGAAACCTTCTGTTTTGACCGACTCAGCATTTTCCTTTAGTCAAGGTCTAATTTGCAGTAACAGTAAAGTGCTAATGCTCACCGCGAATAGCCTGAAGACAAGCTCCACGGAGCAACCTTCTCAAGTGTGTGTGAGGGCCGGGCATAAATGCGAATCTAAGAATCATGATTTCGGATCTATATTTTCTGAGCCTCCGCGATTGTAGCTTTCCCAGATACCTTAATTTTTTTGATCAACCCCCATATGTGATTAGGTTGGCTGGTGCTAGTTCAGGGGCCATTTAGGGAGAGATCGTGTTCGATCAGCGGTGATGGTATACTGCATGGGTTGGTGTTGGAAACATGTGTCATCGTGTGCCGTAAGAAACAGCTTGGAAATGACACAGCCTAAACAATAGATCAGTTTACCATAATTTACACCTATAGCTGTCTATCAGATCTCAACTTTTTAGATACTTTCCACACAATGATGTTCACTTTCAGTTGATTTGTGGTAATTGTGAGGGACACGATCGCCAACCCTGGTGTGAACCAAAGCAGTTCCACTTACTTGCACTAGGTAAATCATGACGAGCATCCTGCAAACATTTGCAAACACCAGTTTTCACCAGCGTTCTTCTTTGTTTGACAGCTGCTTTCTACACCAGTGGCGTCTCATGTCCCCTTTTTCACCCCAAAGCCTGGCGCCACCGACCCGACCCGACACGCACACGAGTCGACACGGACCGCACTTCCGGTGGAGCGGCCGGGGGAACACTTCTCCAGGCCTTGGCGATCTTCATGGAGGTGGAGCGCTTGGAGTCGATGCCACGGAAGTTGCTGGAGGCCGAGTATCAGAGCCTTGGATGGAAATCAGGTAGACTTTGGATTAAACCCGTAAACCTTTGCATAGGGGTGGTTTGTTAATCAAGAATCGAAATTACTGGAGACGCTTCGGGCGATGAGGTGGGTGGCGATCGGTTTTTTCTTTTGGGAGGGCCAAGGCACCTGTGCTAGCGTGTTCTAGCGGATGAGCTGCTTAATTGTTGAGCACTCAGACTTTCAGATTGTTTGGCTTCATCATCCTGAGTCAGATAGTCAGAGTGCACTTTTGAGGGGCGCCAATTCTCTCAAGACTCTTTTGGAGAAGGCGCCGGAATAAACAAATAAAGCGGACACGTGGAATTTCAGCCAAGAGTATTCCAGATTTTTTGAAAGATATTAAACGTATGTTTTATGTATTGTTGTTTGACGACGATGTGTATGGTATTATGTGCTACAGCATAGCATGTTAGCGCAATATGATTCGATAGTTATGTAGAAGTATGTAATATAACATGTATATAGCGTGAATTGTGTTGTTTTGTTTGGCTTTAGGATGCTTAAGGATTTTGTGAACCTTTTTTTAGGCAATTTGGCTTCTTGATCTATTGCTGCTGCAATCTATGGCTCCAGTTGGGGCACTTTCCATCACCAGAGGTGATTGAAGTATATCAGATACCACATGTTTTGCATTGTTTTACACATACTTGCGCAGATGATCCAATATTATGGATCCTAAGTCAGCCTTCCAACAAAGAGTTCACCCTTTTGCTTCGTGGATCACACCAAAACCGACTTCCAGCTTGGAGAGTGTTCACGAAAGGTTCACCGCTTCGGTTCGCGCCGCTTCAGTTCACCGACATTCCAAGGATGCTGGGCATGCCGGATGAGCCCAAGCGCCTCGGTGCGATGGGGGCATTCGGTGATATGTGGAATGCATATCTTTTGAAGATGGAAGCCGAAAGAGTGAGAGACAGAGAGAGACAGAGCGAGAGAGAGAGAGAGAGAGACGCAACACCTTTTGATAGGTGTTACGTTTACTGAATGTTGGTGTTCATGTTGCCGTTCTTTATTTTCGGCACCGCCCTTGCACAAGTGCTTGGTGCTTCTCAGCCTGCAGCCTGATAGCCTGCTGCTGTTTTGATCGTCAAGCAATGAAGCGAGAAGCACCCTCCTGCAGATGAACATGGACCCTGAAACCACCGGGTGGTAGATGAGTTCTTACAGGGCTCCATTTTCAGAGCCCATGGGATCGTTTCCAGGGGGGGTACCCAGGCTGGAGGACAAGGAGCTGATCTATCGACTCAAGCAAGTGCTCATGTGCCTCGACATATATAGTGACAGTGATGTGGAAGGCACGACACCAAGGTTTTTTGCCCGTTCTACCGAACAGGGATGAACGTTGACAGCGTGTGTCCAGGTGTGTGTCACCTGTTTGTCCTATTCTGAACAAAACTTTAGAGGTTTTGGCAAAGGTCGTTGCTAACTGTAATTCAATCCATTATATTATTTTACTATATAGCAAGGTACTCAACCCAAAAGGGGCCGCCAGGCACCCTCCCAACAGGTTGAAGACTGAAAACTCGGGGGCGCCTTGTTTGAACCGATCTGCTATGTTCCAGGTCTCGCCATTCTAATCTCAGAATCCCCTCGGCTGAAGGATTGCTCATAGAGGGCAGCCGCACTGCAGCATGACAGCATTCAGGTGGTCTCAGCTGGAGATTGAGCAGCTGGTGGAGGAATGCCAGGACCGTCAGTTGCAGCTTCGGCTGCAGTTGCAAACGCCCAGAGGAACCTGTAAATTATTTGGTATGTAGCGGAGCATCCTTTTATACACAGGTCAGATTGGATCCCTCCAGAGGTTATGCCAAGGAAGGAGGCAAGGCTTTGGGTAAGGCAGGTTCCTGGCCCAATTGAGAGGCAAGTCTCGCTGGCCGCTGGAACGGTGGTCACAACGCAGTTCCATCCCTGGAAGGCCAAGTGTTTCTTTGCAGAAGGCCAGGTGGTTTTTGGATTAACATCTCTAATTCTATAGGTGTTGTGTGTGTGGCGCATCATGTCAAGAAGTATATCAAGGGTTTCAGTTCCTGGAGTCTTGCAAGAAAACATGCCAAAACATGTCCCCAACAAAACAGGGCGAGGAGGGTCGGGTTGAGCTTCACTCCGTGCAGCTCAGTGCTGGAGTGCTGCATCAGCTGCTAGCTCGCAAAACAACCCCCAGTCCCCAAGCCATGCATGCAGTCACTAACAATCTTCTCTGAAGAAGGTTGATGCACTGGAGACCTGCCATTGTTTGGGCCTGTTCACGGGCTGAGGCATATCCAGCATACACTGAAGCTATGCGAAGAGGAAAAGCGACAGATCTTGCTGGACAAGTTGACGCCAAGATTTGCTTAGCGCAGGGTTCTTTCCCTGCGAAGGGATGTTAGGTTCCAGGATGCATATATATATATATATGTTTGTGTCATATTTAGTTTGTTTTGCAGATATGCTTGCATTATATAGTTATGGTTCAGGTCCAGGAGCTAAAAACTTTTGGGTTCGCCTTTATATCCCAGCAAGCTTATTACATATACAACATTATACAACATTTTGGAATGCCCACAGTCTATCTCATCTTCCCCTAGTATGTATATAGATAGATAGATAGATATTGATTTGCAAATCCACAATCCACTTGTTTATTGTTCATTTGCATACCTGCATTCCATATATGCATACCAAACTAAAAATCACCATTTGCTTTTCCAAACTTTTCCTTCGCAGCAGCTGGACTCCTCCCAGCTCGACGAGCGAGCACACGCGACGCCGAGGATCATGAGTTTGGGCGTGGACGGCTGGGAAAAGCAGGGCATCCCCGTGGCGCGGCTCTCGTCACTGGACGCGGCCATCGGCATCATCGAGGAGCTGAATCGACTCGAGGAGGCAGAAGAGAAGGAGGTGAAGGAGACCTATCAGCGGCTGGGATGCATCAGTTGGCTTTGAGTTCTTTAAACATATTTTAAACACTCTCTACAGTGCATGTAGCAAGTTGTGGTATTAGGTGATTGCGGTTGACTGTACCTTAATCACGGTGCTGCGCGTTTTCTGTAGTTCAGATACGTACTATAAGCTACTAAATGACTATGTTGTAAGGCACTTACAACACTGGCCATGCTTTCTCAGCAGCTTCCTGAGCAAAATTCGGTCTATTTGTCCACACCTGCTGGACTGGCTTTTCCCATTTGCTGCCAGTGCTGAGGTTGCTAGGTTTGCCGAAGGAGACTTTGGACAAAAGTGCCGCGGCCGCCCGAGACCTTCGGGTTTGCCAAGGGGCAGGATCGTTCTTGATAAGTAAGCCATGTTTGGGGGGGGCTTGATGTTCAGGATGTCCATCCTAGATGAAGCTCATGATCCTCATGACTTGGTTTCTCCAATTGGATCCAATTGGACCATCCAAACGCCGGCGGGTCGATTGGATGGCCAGAAGTGTCTAACACCTGAAATCAAGCGTTGGCAACTTGGCAACTGTGGAGGACAAAAATCCTACTGCTGCTGCTGGTGGTGGTGGTTCCTTTCCTTTTTGTGGGGGCTTGGGAAGATCTCCAAACATTTGGATTGTGGGCTTGTAACGACTTGTGCTCCTTGCTCGGCAGAGAGAGATGCATTCAAGATGATTGATATGTTTTTTTGATCCTGCACTATTCAATCCAAAGTCACTATATAAGGTGTAATGATCTCGCGGCTGAAGCACTACATGATCTGGCAAGAGCTCAGGCAGAACGCAAAGTGGTGGAGTGTGTTGTGTGTCGGACACTTTGTACAGGGTTTTGCCTTTCGTAGAGTCACTTCAGTTTTAACTTTAAAGGTGTTCTTGTGCTCATGACCCCCGCAATACTACAAGGGCCAGTCGTAGTGGATCATTTGCCAACCAGCAGGGTGAAGATGGCTAGCGGCTAGCGGCTAGCCTTTGCGAATACATGGTTCATTTAGGCAGTTGATTTCCTGAACTTGCTGGGTGGTCTCTAAAACTGAAGAAGGTCAAACCACCCCTTGATGGGTGAACGCATTTGCTGGAAGGCTTTGGAATTCTTGGGATGATGTAGCGGGCACCCGCCGACCTGGACATCTCCAAAGAAGTGATTCGGTCCAATTCCCTCCGGCTTGTCCTGGTCCCAAACGGTCCCGATTTCAAGAGCCATCAGGAGCACTACTGATGGAGCCCCCAAATGCGTTCGGTATGCTTCGGGTCCGATGCACGGGCCAAGACCGCTACAAACCTGCAGCTCGCCCAGCTTGGGCCCAGGCCCTCCGAGTTGCGGAAGGAGTGCTTGAAGCACAGCATCTCAGCAGCTGGAGACATTGAAGAGCTCATCACGAAGCTGGTCCTGACGCCTCCCTGAACTTAAACAAAACTCGGGAGACCCGCGTGGCACGAGGGAAGCTGCTTCGAAGACGGGCCAGGCGGCCTGTTATGCAAGTGTTCGTGGACCAAGGCGTGAAGAAGCCAAAGTTGCGCACAACTGTGCACCACCAAACGTAGACCATTTCCCACCAACTGTGACTTTGGGTGCATTTGAGGGAGAGTTCAAAGAACAGCGCGGAGTGCAGCCTGGCCATGCCCGGCTGGTCTTTCCGTCTGTGACGGTGCTCAGGAAGACGGCGGGCTTCGCATTGCCAGAGGAGACGAAGGCCCCGGAGTTCCTTGGCGGAGTCCCATGTGCAGGGCGCCCGGCCCGGACCGTCCGGTGTGTGTTCTCGTGCCATTCCCGTGACTGAACGGTTAAGTCACTCATCCCAATGCAAGAGAGAGAGAGAGAGAGAGAGCCGAGGTGCGGCAGGTGAAATTGACGAATTTCCCTGCTAAGCAGGGCCTGCTTGAAACAATCATGGTAGTGGATGGCACCACCTGTTTGTGGAGGAGAGTTGTCGTCCCAGGGGCCATTGAGGAGATCCCAGGAGTTTTAGAAAACGGCTCCGGGACTTGGAGAACACACCCCCAAGCACAATATCCTAAGTGTGGGCAATCTCTTTGGACTTCTACTCAACCACCCCATGCACATGAATGGATTGCAAATGATTGCAAGTATAGTTTTCAAGCAGTCTAGACATGGAATATCATGCTATATAATAACTGCCACACGCACACATATAAGGGGAGTGGGAGCAGAACTCTCCCAAAAGTGTCTTGAATCATTCCATATCGTAAGTCCAAGGAGTCCATTGGTGGAAAAACGGTGCATTTTCATATCATCATATCACAGGAGTGCTTAGAACATCAGCTGCAGGACTGCAGCTCCATCAGCTGAGGCTCACCTTTCCTCCACGAGAGCCCAAGACCTCGGTGCCCAAGACCATCCCGGCACCCTCAGGTGCAGACCATGGGGGCTCAGGGGGACCGTTCGGGGGCCGGGGATCCACCAGAGCGGAGAATAAGCAGCAAGAGTGTTTCTTGGGCGGGGAGGATGCTGAGCTCTTCAGCATTGGCATTCCAAAACCCAAGTTGGGCAACCCACATGGCTTTTCTCTCGGAGCCTTGGAAGATTCAAGAACGTGATCCCAAGGCAATCCGGTTCTCAAGATCCCGCCCAAACAGACCAAATTTTCTCTCCAGAGAACAAGAGTCATTTGAACTGTGACCATCAGAGAGCTGATGATTGAATGACTCCTATAGGACTGCCATGAATCATGCCAAGGCCATGGCAGTCCTGGTGTGCAGTTTTCATGTCATGCCAGGCACATGCCATGAATGACATTGCCGTTTTTTCGGCAGGGCAAACGGAGCCTTTGACTCCGCTCCGCACCGTGGCTCTGTTCTCAGGCAAAGTGGCGAGCGCCTTCCAACTGCTGGGGCTGGATGTCACGGCCAAGCAGGAGGAGGTCCGGAGAGCATATCGACGGTTGGCACCTTGGTGGAAACACCAGCGGTGAGGGGGGCGGTGGTGGGGTCAGTTTGGAGCATGAAGAGATGACATAGTGACTCAAGTGTTGGCCGAATTCACATTGGGCAAGGGTAATGTGCAGCCAGCCCCTTTTTTATTCTCCTGTATGAGCTTCATGGTTAAACTTTGGCACCTCAAGTGGTGAGGGTGAGACTCGGATTTTTTGTTCTGCAGTGTCCACACCACTGTCACAGCATGTCACAGCGCTTGAGTGCTTTATGCGCCTTCGTGCTGCGTTTCCTTTGCGGGTGACACAGTCTGAGGCTTTGCAACATCATCCAGACAAAAACCCAGGACTCCAGGAAGAAGCTGTCAAGAAGTTGCTGGGCAAGGGAGAGTATACACTCCCCATTGCCCACTTCCGTGTTAGTCAGTCAGAGTGTACGTTTTGAGTTTGGGCATCAGTCAAGAAGTGTACATGTGTCCTTTAAGATGTGAGTTTGATCTACCGACGCATGTCTATCTAGGTGTTCATGGCTGTTCAAGGCGTGACATATGTTTGGGTGGAAGCAGCTATTCCCCATGCTGGTGGGTCAGTTGGCTGATTGAACTATCGCGCAAACATGTTTGGACATTTGACAGCACCTTCAACTCCTCCCAGCCCTGGAAAGGTGAAGATAGGATCAAGTGAAGCATTTAAACAAATGCCAGGTGCTGAAACCGGTTCCACTGAAAGAAAAATCATCACTACTGACAGGCCAAAGTGCCAGCCTACCATGCCAAAGCTCCCTCCTAATTAAATTAGATTCTTAGCTTGAATCATGCACTGGGAGCACTGGTGAGGTTGCATGAGGACCTCTTTGCATGGGAAACAACCAGCAAGGTGAGAAAGAACGGTTTAGCTGCTTCGTCAGGATAGATCACAAACATTTTTATCTCAGGAGAAGGTGACAGATAGTGAATCCAGAATTCGTAGGGTCTACTGTAAAGAGCAGCCTGAAAGCTTTACATCACTTTGCGCTCAGGTTTCAGCAGATTACCCACGCCTACGAGACCCTCCAGGGCCATCTAAAACATTCCGCCCGTTGACGTGCAAAACAGAGTCAGCAAGCGCGGGGGGGTATCATCGGCCAAATCAATTCTTTTGGGTTTTGCTGAATCATAATCATAAGCACTGCCCCTTCCCTTTATATAAAGTGTTTTTGTTTGTGGGGGAATGGTGACTATATAGAGAAAGGAGATTCTCATGGTCATAGATCATTCAGTGGTACCCTCCCCCACTCCAAAAGAACAAAGCAACCCACCATGGTGGCGTGCTCGAGGAATTCGTGCTGAGCCTGCAAGGGAGGAACCCGCGCCCAAATCCAGGCAATTGACCCATGTGTGAGAAAACAAAGTGTTCACAGTGCCCCATTTGGCAACAACAACAGCACACAACCTCATACATGTGATGTTCTTTTGGTTCCTATCCCCGCCTGGAACCCAGTCGTTTTCGTTTGTCCTTACGAACCCAGGTTCGCCCTGGAACTCGCCCAGAGTTCCCTGGCGCGCCAGGTCAATGTGGGTTACCTCAACTTCTCTGTGATGTCTCCTGAGGGGCCGTCTCTTGGTGTTCGACGCGGCTTCCGCCCTCGGGTGGGGAGAAAGGGCGGCGTGCCCGTCCGTGGCGGGAGCTCAGAAGATGCCAAATCAGCTCAGCACTGACTGTTCAGGAAGATGCCATCAAGCCAAACCAAGACACACCACAGTTTCCCTGTAAATCATCATCGGTGATGGAGGAAGTGTATGGGGCTGTAGTCAGCTAGGAAGGTCAAACACCAGGCAGGTTGGGTGAGCATTGCACAAGGCCCCGGAGGAGCAAGCCGAGGCTGACGCCTCATGTGCCAGATGTCAACCCCAGCACCATGGAGCAGGCGGCTGTGGGCGGAGGGTTTTGGCCCTTGGGGGATGATGAGGCGAAGTGTTTCCCCTAAGCACCCTGAAGAAAGCCAAGCAGGCTCAGGGTCCAGTGGTTCACCTCTCCAGCCATAGTTTGCGGCTGCTTTTGGTCCCCCAACTCAGCCTGCTGCTTGTGGAGTCCCACACTACCGGTTAGATGGTTAGATGGTAAGACTTAAACACCTCATAACACCTCAAATAGATGATATATATATATATGTATACACATCAACTTAAGCTTCTTTGTAACCAACTAGGCAAGTTCATCGAACTCGAACTGTCTCTGGTTTGTCCTTGAGGGAAGGGAACCCCAACCACCTACCAAGTGAGCGTCAGTCGGATGAAGCCGTTGCCGTGTTTCTCAGCCAACGTTTTCCGGGTAAGCCAAGAAACCAAGCTCTACAATGATGAGGATGTCATCAAAGTCCTAAGAGTTGTACTCGGTACTGCTCAGAGCTTGGGGGAGGCTTGGGTGCTTTTGGGGACTGAGCAAGTGAGTGGAACTGGTTGCAACGGTGCACTTCTTGTTTGTCTTCGACTCCCAGCCACCTGGTAGGACCAGGAGTATCGCAACGCCATCGGGCGGCAGAAATTCCGGGAACTCCGTCATGAGCAAGTGAAGAGGTGCGGCGTCGCATGCGGCACGTGCGGCGCGAATGCTTAACCCACCTCACGAAAAAGCATGGGGGAAAAATCAACTGTATGTGTGTGTGTGAGTGTTCCTTTGCAATGTATTTCCCAGTGTCGCAGGACAAGATGGGCAAGAGCCGAGAATGCCCTAGATGAGCTATGGCGCTATGTATGATGCTCCTGCACCATCCGTGAACGAATGCGGCTCATGTTGGCTCAGGCTGTACGAAAAGAATAGAGCCAGCTCAGACATAGTAGTCATCTATAGGACCCCTTTCGCGGCAATAAACCTCAAAGTGCCTGCCACAATGCGAGGAAGAGCTTTTGCACGAGTCGGTGCACATTTTTCATGTAAAGAGTTAGTATCCCACAATCGAAACATTATTGTTTGAGCAGAAACACCTCCATGCATCGTCAAGAGCATCACACCTTAGCTTCAACATGAGCAAGCTGGCGCCGTCATTAGTGAACAAATGAAAGCAACCCTTGTCCATTTTGGCCAGCCTTCCCGAGGGAGCGATGGGAGATGAGGAACGTGATACAAAAAAGACACTATATATATATATATCATCAAAATGGCGGAACAAAAAACACACTAGCCACCTCACTACCGCTTCGAACATTTCGATTTTGCTCCCATGCTCTCCATTTGGCGCCTCTCATTCCTGGCGTTGCTGAACTCGCTCGTGCGCTCAGAGCCGGTGGTGGCGGTGGCGCACGTGGTGTCGCGGAGCCCCACCTTCTTCGAGGAATGGTCTCCCTGTCACTTGGATTGAGACAGGGCTTGGCTACCCTCCCCCAAAGAATCATGGAAGTGGACAACTCCTCTTCCAAGGGGCCATTGTCCATGATGGTTGGAGGGTGTGTGTGTTTAGCTTCCGCGGAGGATTTGTTTTCGCTTGTTTTCTTTTTTGTGATCCTGGAGGCCTGGAGGAGGTGTCAGACATGTAAAAGGTTCGTTGATGCTGAATATTCATTCGGCCTTTACGTATCCCATTAAATTTGTTTTTGACATCGTTTTTTGACCTCATGTGGACCAACATCGTGCAACACATGCAGTCGTGTGTCGTGTGAGCGGTTATACTCGTGGTGGCTTCGCGTGGTTTGTTGCCAGGGGCATCGACGCTCGCTGCATCGACGTGCCCAGGCCATGCGACGCGCGGGCATGGAAAGAAGGCGTTGGTCACGGGCATCACCGGCATGCAACCCGGTGGTGCTGGTGCCGGACAGGGACACGGACACTCTCCAGGATTCGTTCAGGTGTCAGACCCGTCGAATTCATTCGTTCTGTAGCTATTGAGAACGTGATGTAGAATATGACTGCCGATTTAATAAAGGGCACCATGGAGAAGCACAACCATTCTGATAGGAGGTTATTGTTCATCAACAGTCGACATTAGAACATTTTGAATGGCAACTTCCAGGTCTGCAGTTGCCCACGAACACATGTATAGATGGCCGCTTCGCTTTTTTTCTTTGTGCAAGGGCCAAAAGCCAAAAGGGGAGAGTTCCAAAAAAGAGTGCTGAGATGGTTTCCCTCCGTGTTAGTTGGAAGTGTTTTCAGGTAGCCTGCTGGAAGGATGTTGATTCTTCAGAGCTCTTCTTCGTTTCAGAATTGCAATTGCTTAGCTGAACCGTTGTCTTAAGCAAGACGTCCGGATATACTGTATGCCGGTGAGAGGCGCCCACCTAATCGATTTCACCAAACCATGTTCTTCAGAGAGTATGGTGAATTGAGGCTTTGCAGGGAACTAGGAAGGCCTACCCGTGGGCCATGGGTATAGAGGGGCTTGCAATGGCTTGCATGTTGTTTTTTTGTTGCTGTCAATGTGAGAAGGATCCACCAACACCAAATATCCAAACCCATCCAACCCCCCAGAATCTACCGTCCCATACAAGCCCATACACAAGCCATAACACGAGCAATCTCTCCATGTACCCTACGCAGACCAGGTTAGGCAGCCATGTGGCAGAAGCCTTGCTGGAGAAGGGCTATGAGGTAGCAGGGGTTGTACGGCCCAGGAGCAACTTGCGGAACGTGGCCGCCTTCCAGTCCAAGGTGCAACTCACCCGGCGGCGGAGTCTGAAAGCGGCGTGCTCTGCGGAGGGAGAAACCGAGCAGATGAGGAAACCTGCATGAAACAAACGGATTGTGGGAGACATGTTTCACGATCCATTGTTCTTGGGCGCTGCTGAAGCACATGGCACATGGCATGATCAGTTTTTGGACCTTTTGCATACATAATGTATAATTTAATACATCAGAATTAGAATCATTTGGTCAATGGGAGGAAGTAACCATACAACTTTGACATGAGAGGACATGTGCCGGGTAACATCCCAGGGGCACTGAGCCGTTAGACTTGGTCTCACTGGCCCTCGGATGCCCTCGGTGCTCGCTGGTTCAACAGGGCAGACATCATGTTGAATCATTTCAAGGCCGATGGTCAATGGATTATGTTCATGCCGAAGACCCGCTTTGTTTCCGTTATTTAGTTCAAGGAGCCTCCAGCCAAGGACCATCCCATCAGAGTCCTCTTTGTTTGGAGGGATCAATCCATGCACTATAGTGGTTCCCAAATGGATAGAAAAAGGTGTCCAATAGATGTTGAGAGGGATTTGACTTTACGATCTATTTTGGCGTCTCATCTGGGCGCTCCTTTGGCAGCTCTGCCTGGGCTCGGAGAGGTGACGCTGGTCACTGCCGAGCTGACCGACCCTTGGCGCGTGCTGCGGCTCCTGGAAAGTCAACGGCCAGACTTCATCTTCCACTTCGCGGCACAAGCCTTCAACAGCCACTGGGGCGGATCACTGATGCCCTGCAAGCTTAGACTGAGCACTGAGCACCGAGCACGAGTGCAACCTGCACTAGCCACCCCAGTGGTGGATTCGGCGACGGGATAGACTATCTCAGGAATATGGTGGATAGTGCAGGTGGTTTTGGGAGTTAACAGCGTGCATTTGTTAATTTATGGCCTTAGACAACCTCCAAGCGGAGGAGATGATGTTTAAAAGCTCCTTGAGGCCCTGAGAAGTCCCCGGAGGCCCTGAGAACCCCCCCAGATTCGGAATTGATTGTTATTGTTGCACCGATCTTTCCGAGAACAAATCAGATATAAGGAGAGATTACCTTCTCCACTCATGAGCGGCTCGGTTCCAAGTTCGGACCGAGCAACCGAGGGAGCGGAGTGCTTCCGAGGTTTGTCCTTTGAACAACCTGCTGAGACGCTGCACACCAACCTCATGAGCACTCTTCACCTGCTGGAAGCGATGCGAGAGCTGAAGTTGAAGACAACCTGCTTGAAGTGCAGCACATTGTTATGTTGGGTTTCTTTTACTTGTTTGGAGTGTTCGGCAAAAAGCTGATCTTTCATTACATGACCAGATGCTACTGTAGGCAGCAAGGGTTCGACTCAAACATCTCCAGGGCCATTACAAACGATATCTCATTCTAAACTACACATCATCAACCAAGGGAAGCAAATACAGTGAGCTGAGATGTTTTCGCTGATCAGTTGCAACTACCCTGAGATCCTACACCCCCCTGAGATTCTAACCCGTCCCAAGCCTGGGGCTCCTTTTGCTTCCCCGTTCAGAGGACCGCCCCCCTTTGCCAGTCCTCAGGAGCACCAAGATCATCATCGCCGGCTCTTCCACAGTCTATGGCGCCTCCACCGAGGCCTACGACGGCCCAGTGCCCGAGGAGGCGCCGCTGCAGCCGGTGTCGCCCTATGGGGTGAGCAAGGCGGCCACGGAGATGCCACGTGGCCCCAAACGGAGGGCCAGCCTCGGAGGCGACCTGAGGCGAAGGGGTGGGGGTGTTTTGGGGGACAAGCAGTGCCACAAGATGTTTGGAATTCCATTTGGGGGGGCAAAGCACAGTATACAGTGATAGTGTTGCAATTTTGTCCAGTAATGGCAATGGTCTTTTTGAGCATGGTGCGGCATCAGGGGGTCAATTAAGGCATTCAACATCAGCCAGCTGGACTAAGTGGTGTGTTTGGTTTGGATCTATAATCCGGGGGTTGCCCAACCCTGTGTGACATCGAGGTTATTGAGGATGCAGAATCTTGTTCTCCCGACCTGTCGCAAGAAGTACTGTAGCTGTTTCCCTTGCACTTGGCAACTAATCTACTTTTAAGAATTGAATGTTGGACAGTGAATTGCTTGTCATATTTGGCGTTATGATACTCGATGGCTTTCATAGCAGATCCGATTTGTGGAATCCTGCGGGTCTTTGACTTGTGATGGGGCCGCTCTTGGCGGGAGACCCAAGTCAAGACACCCCTAGAATCCCAAGTGGGCTGATACCGGCCAGCCCACTAATGACTCTGATCTCTAGCCAGGACACAAGCTGTGGATCTGGATATATCTGGATCATGGTTCTTTTCTTTCCAGACTCCAAGCGTTTGCTCCACTGACGCATCAGACCGAGGTTGGCCTTGTCCTACGTCCGTGCCCATGGGCTGCACGTGGTGGTGCCGCGCTTCTTCATCCACTTGGCGCCGAGGGGTGTGGAGAGACTCCTGGATTTGCAGAGCGTTGGTTTGGGATTGCACTGGTAAAGGTGCCAAAAAGACCCCCCCTTGCAATTTCCCCTAAAGAATCAGACAACTCGGGTTGTCAAAAAGCAGGCCATTCTTTAGAGTTCACCATGCATTTTTTAGAGTGGCAGCGGCGTTTGATTCTTTAGAGGTGCACTTTTTGCCACAGGCTCGCGTCTTTCAGCCTGGAGATCAATGCCAATGGCATCCAATGGCAACGCCTTTATCAAAAGTGAGCATGTCATAACATCACTATGTTCAATGATGATCACTCTTCAAACATTTTCCTATATTTGCCTCATCATCCACCATAATCAGAAGGTCGACAGTGGTCGACAATCCAAACACCTGTGAAAACTCATGTCTTTGTGTTTTTTCTATTGTTTTGCATGGCTTTGGGATGAACATGCACCAGCATGCTATTTCATGGGGCCTATCCCCCTAAAAAATCAGAACCCAGCCACGTGTCCCAGTCTAAAGAATCAGATGGCACCCATGGTCTAAAGAATCAGGTCCCAGTGTCTAGAACGCTGGTTGGGCAAGAGTGTCCCCAGGATTTTTCAGGAAACTTTAGGTTCCAATACGGGAATGCCTGAAGGATCCTGGGAAGAATGAAGATTCATGATAACTACCATTCTTTAGAGGAATGTTGTTGCGAAGTGTATTTAGGGCATTTCAGGGATTGATTCTTTAGACATGTACATCCCTTACACAACCAGTTCTAGACACTGAGATTTGATTGTTTAAGGTGTTATACCCGGTTGTACTGGGAGCTGGGGTCTGTACAGTCTTTTTGGGCGGATTGACCCTTTCTTAGCCAGATCATGTGGATAGATTTGAAGGGCTGAGCGGCTGAGCTTCAAATTCAGGCCCAAGCAGTCAACCCTTAGGACAACTTGGCGCCCCAAATTTATATACTAGGGCGTAAGAGAAATTACGTCCTAGTAGTTATCTTGCTTTTTGAGGTCGCACAGATGCGAGTTATGACAAGTTTGAGCATGTTTGAACCTATTTTGTATTAGATGGTAGATTGCCGTTCATCATCATGGACTGGTACTTGTGTGGAGTGGGTGTTCCCATTCTTTAGAGGGAGTCCAGGTTCCCAAGAGGTATGTGCACTGTGCTCAACGTGTTCTGTTTTTTTTTTTTTAGGGCCAGTGCCCAGTATGTGTTGGCAGAGTCCTGATTCTTTAAGCTACCATGTTGGTATGGGCACTGTGGATTGAGGATTCTTTAAGGTGGCAGCTGGCAGTGGCCACCATGGCCTCCTAAAGAATCAGACAGTCCAAGAGAGAGGCCGAATTGCAAGGGATTTCCAAAAAGTACTTGGGTACCAAGAAGAGTAGTGCACTTCCCATTGTCAGCGGTAAAGCTTTAGAACTTTATATATAGAACCTTTGACTCCTAGCTATATAGTAGGTCCTGGGCACAAACAACTCATGAAAGCTGGTAGACATTTGGGCTCAGGTTTGTCCCATGCCAAAGCTTCTATGACATTTTCCTTACTATACTTAGTACTATACTTTGGTATTGACAAGGCTGTGGTGTCAATGTCATTGTATTGAGAAAGAGTGTTGGCATGTTTTCCATTGTTCGTTCTGTTAGTTTGCTTCTAGGCGTCGACCATTTCGGTTGCCCCACATTTCTCGTCGGCGACTATTTCAGGTGCCCTACAGAACACCATACCTATTCATACACCACATAAATGAATCATATATTCATATTCCCTTCCACTTTGGTGCACAACACCAGGTGTCTCCTTAGTCCAGGGCGGAGCCAGCCACTTTGCTGTGGTCCATCCGGGCGGGTCCGCAGGTTTGGCGCTCCACGACTTCGCGCGACAAGTGGCCATGGTGGAACGGGGCCTTTTGTCACCCCCAGTTCTCAGGCGAGGCGCGCGCGAGGTGAGGAGAGGTGAGCGAGAAGAAGCTGGTTGGAACATTGGACCAAAGTAGGTTGTAGATACCCACAGGTTCAGGCGGTTCAGGTCCCTCAGGTTGCCATTGCCTTGAACATGACACAAAGTAACTACACGTTTTGAGACTTAAGTATGACATTAGAGGACTTTATTCTGTTTTGCTCATGCCATGCCATCGTGCCTTTTCAATTTGGCCACGTGACGCCATGGCTCCTTGTAGGTTACGGATGTGGTTCTTGAGCAAGCACGGCACCAGTGAAAAACCCACCAGTTGCACAGATCCATCCCTTGGCAACGGATGGACATCCGAGTCTGAAGAGGACATCCTCACGTTACTTTCAACTCCTTTGCAGACCTTGGAGCAACTGGATGATTGATCAACCTGGACTTCTTTTCAGATCTGGACTGCTTTGCTTTCAAACTTCGATGATTGCTTCCTTGAAGTCCGGATCGCCCGACTCGGACCGACGGACTCCAGGCATGGTGACCTCTCCACGCGCCGGGACATCACCGACATCGTGGACTCGGCACCAGTGGTGGTTTGCCTGGGAGAGGCCGGGAGGTCCGCGGGAGCGGAGGTTCGCGGTCCGGCTGAGGGTACCGATTTGAAGGTGGAAGCACCACCGGTCACCAATTGATGGCATGGAGTATGTGGTGGAGTATGTGGAGTGAAATTCTTTGTTTGGTTGTGAGTAGCCACCAAGATAGAGAAATGGCAGTGGGTCAAAACCTCGAGCTTGAAGCTGTAGGTTGACCTCCCTGGTGATCTATCCTGTTCATTTTCGGTGGTCAACCAGGGTTAGTCAAGAGGGGTAGGTTTGTGCACAAAACCCTGCAAAACGATAAGGTCTACCTCAAAACCGATAACCCCAGCGCTGTATATGATCATAAGTATGCGACGAACTCAAAAAAACTGTAAAACGATAAGGTCCAACTCAAAACCGATGACGTCCATTTTTTTTTGTTGAAGAAGAATAAGGAGTTTTGACCGTCCCTCATATATATATATACATATATATGTGAGTATTATAAGTATGTAAGTATATATATATACACCTCCACCAGCTGTTCGCCAGTCGCTCCAGTTGCTCCGTGCATGGGTTAGGGAACCACATGGCATCGCCATGAATCACTTCTCAGAAAGTTCTCCACTGCCAGCAGAGTCAACATGACCGACATGAGCTCCGAGACATGCGCTGTCGCACGGTGAAGCTGCAGCGACTCGAGGTGGCACCAAGTGGTACGGTGGTGAACCTGGGATCCAACGTCTCGCCACCCGGATGCACTGCCGGGGGGGGGCGGTAGATGCGGATTTTGGAAGACCGGGATTGAAAACTCCTGGACTCCTCAAGGACCAGGATGAGCAGCACAAGGGGGGGCACAGAATGTAACCAACAATTGATTTGTCAGGCAAGTGGTTGGGATTTTGGATGATGATAGTGATTAAGACCCACCCCATTTCCAATTTTTGTTTTGTGACGCCAAAGTGACCGGACCACCCAGGTATAGCATGCAGCACTTGCTACATGAGATGGTCCGGCTGAGCCCCTCTTGGGGCGAAGGCCGGCGACCGGCGCACCGGCGCGGGGTGCGGCGTGACCGCGCGTCGATTGCACTGCTGCCCAGGGCATAACTGGCGGTTTTCACTCCGTGGGGTGACGGGAGGTAGCAACGTGACCCCTTTTGTGGGATGAAAGGGAATGAAAGGAACCACATGTTTGCATTAGATGAAACATGACTCGATGACATATTATTAATATATGTACATATTATATATCTCTGTGTGTGTTGTTGTAATTAAGTTGGGATCCCTCTTTTGTGGAGTCCCAAGGGGAAAGGCACACTTTCACCTTCGGCCGCCTTGCGACAGGAAATGGTAGCCACCTGGGGAAGCTCCGCCACTTGGACCGGTCTCGCCCGGTGCCGTCTCCGATGCCTGGATCAGTGCACCAAATCTTCTACAGTGGTTTCAGAGTAGATGGCACAATCCCCAAAATTTGGTTTATATGGACCCCCATCCAAAAGACATCTTCGGGTTTGTGCCATCTACCCTGAAACCACTGTACATTGAATCCAATAAATGTACTCGGCAACATTTGGCCACTTGGTGTGGTCCGGAAGGTAGCTTGGTGGCTATATGAAGGGATCCACCGTTTTGACCCCACACGACCTTCCAAACATATAAGTTTGATGAAATGTGGACATAGAGAAGTGTTCTGTATTGAGCGGGTCAAGGCACCAACAGTTTTTTCTTCCGAGCGGTAAACAGATTCAATACCACAACGAAAGCATGGGTGGACTCATTGTTTGGACTCATGTTTTTTGACTAACCCACTGCCACAATCACCAACAACATCAAACAACAAGAGATAACAAACTGCCTCACTGGCATTGTCCATCTTGCAGCGCCCCCCCAAACGTTTCTTTTTAGAAAACAAGTCGACTACTTCCCGTCCGAGAACGCCTTCGCTTGAGCGAAGGGCCTGCCCGAGGTTTGGAGCAGGACGTCTCACGCTTGAGGGCCTATGACGAACGCATCGTGATGGCCAACATCAGCAAGGTGCAACAGCTCACAGGCCGCCGTGGCACGTGACGATACGTGACGTGGTCATGACTCGAACGGACAGTGCGGTACCGGGCGTTTGCTTGTGGCAGACAAGCGTGAAGAATCAATGTGGTTGATGGCTTCTTGCTCGTCCACCCAAACCCGTTGTTAAAATTTACTGACTGACTGTTGAAGGATAAATGCTTGAAGCCCTCAAGAGCTCAAACCTGTCGTTAAATTTAACATAATTTAACAATATCGATGGTTGAAATCCTTCAAGAGCTCCTTGTTTGATCATTTCGACCATGTTTGTTAAGAAAAACATCCGGTTTTGCCCATGCTTCAGGCTGGGTGCCACGGCCCAACATCTCACTGCTCCTCCGGATGCTGCTGGATTACTGGCGTCATGAGACGGCCTTTCGCTTTCCGGCGCGGTCCTTCGGGGCGCGCGAAGCGGTGCGGTTCGGCGGAACCCGCGCGGTCGGTCGTGGAAGTGGACCAAGTTGGTGGAACAGGATGGAGTCGATTGATGGAGGATTTTCATGCATGTTGCAACTCATGTCGAGGCAAACCGCTGAATATCGAATTCTAGGCACAGGCTTTGAAAGGGCCTTTAAGGTCAATGTGTTCATGGTCAACTCTTTAGGCGAAGAAGTTGTAGTCACAGTCGTCATCAGTGTGTGCTCGTTTTTGAGAACTTGGCAGGAGACAAATGCAGCACCACGCACCCGTGAAGAGGAAGCTATGGCAGAGCTTTGAGTTAAAAGACTGCTGGCGTCGTTGTGTTGTTTGTCTTGCGGATTTGTTCAGGGTTGGGCATTGACCTCAAAAGGGTTGCGTGCTCCATCACGAACCATCCTGGCAATGATCCTATTGTAGCCTGTAAGCATCATTGGTTGATTCATACATTTCTCTGACACTGGGGCCATCCAACCAACCTCAATAAGTAGCAACCCTCACTAGGCATCCTGATCTATGGGACATCAGGGAGGTCGTTCCTTTGCAAGTTGAAGGACATTGTTCACCGTGCAGCAGTTGTCATGAGGGTTTGATGGATGCTTTTTGCCCCCCATCCAAGTGTCACATCCTTCAAACGTTGAGGTATGTTGAGGTCATTCTTTTGTGCGCTGCCTTTTCCTATCTCCATCATGTGGAACACTGCCTTCCTTTCCATGTAGAAGCTTGGGCAGTGGTGCGCCACACTGTCATTGCTCAACAAAGACCGGTCAGTTCATTCGACTTGAACAATACCTCCCTGATGAAATTTGATTTTGGGCCACCCACTTGAGATCAACTCTAATTTACTTTGGATGGCCCAGATCGCCTCAATATCACCACTACCAGCAGATGTTGACACCTTTTATTTAAATCCCTTCCCTGATATACAGTATTATGTTCTTTTGGATTCGGATCATTTCAGGTTCCTCGATGTCACCCTTGCCATTTTGCTTCCTCCACCACACTTGCTTGCCGCAAGCCGCCGCAGGCCTGCGGCTTGCCCGCGGACCTGCTCGCTCTTCAGCGTCGACCTGGACGTGACCGGGCACCAAGTGCAGAAGGCGCTCAGCGCGTGACGCGGTGTGAGCGGAGCTGCTGAGAGGAAAGCGTCGGACAGCAGCTCCCCGTGGCCCAGTGGGGTATTGCGAGCTCCGGTGGCGTCAGGGCAAGTGATTTATAGCAATTATAGAGCTATGTAGGGCTTGGAGGGCTGAGCGGAAGCTATGTGTTGGAGGTTTGGTGGGGCATATGGGTGTTTGTGGGTTGAGGGAGGAGCTACGGTGGGGGATGGTGGGTTTTAAATGCTAGCTTTGGGGGAACTGTGAGAAAGCAGATCATTGGCAGACAGAATATGCCACTCGCCTCGAACCCCAACACGATATATGATTATAATTGATTATATATATATATATACCCTACCGGTCGTCGACCATTCTAAAAAAGGCTGTTGTCAGGCAGCCATTCTTATCTAACAACCGACATTTCTTCTGAGCTTTTCGAGAGCTTCTGGACTGCTAGGAAGCTCTTTTGCTCGAACATGGTTGACAATGACAAAAGAACTTACAAAAGATATGAATTTAAATCATATTTGGTACCATTGCATGTCCACAGGGCCACAGGGGCATCTGTTCCATTCTTTTCCCAAATCTACCACCTGCTTCGCCTCATTTGCCAATGTGGTGGCCTCATTGGCCCTATATGGAGTTGGTGGAGTTCATCACCATTGAGTTGGGGCCTCACTTGCAGATCTAAATGATTTGTTTCCGGAAAATCATGTTTATTGATTCCTCTCCAAGGCACAACGATGCCATCAACTGCAAAAAGAAACCGTTTGAAGCGTGGGATCCTTGGATTACTTCCTCAGTGGATCTGCGTTGTACCATCCCTTTTGCCAAGGGGTCTATGAGGACCTTGAGTGTGCCCGGCTGAGTGGGCTTGATCCGATAGGCTGGAGAAGTTCGATTGGGGCTGATGTTTTGAATCTCTCTTTTTGGCAAAGACCCTAGGCCCCTGATCACTGGTACTACTATAGCATTTGTTCGCCCCTTTATCAAAAAGAGAGAGTTCAAAACCAAGTGCGTGATATCAAATGATGCACCCGTGATCTCATGTTTAAACCTGTTAGCCCCTGGCTCCATCCGGCGCAGTGTGGTTCTTGCTTTTTTGCACTGGTGGCACCATGTCTTGCAGCTCTGAGCGGGTCAGCCTCCTGAAGGCCGGTAGGTGTCATCGGTGGGCATGAATGGAACATGTATTTTGTTTGGGACAATGGAGTGATGTGTGGGCCCACGGGCTGTCAGGAGTTTTACAGGGAGTGGGTTGAAGATGCTGAATTTCTCCGGCAGCGACGCAAGCTGCTGCGGCAAAGGAAAAAATCAGTGAGGCTGATCCAACAGTGTCCTGTCTTCATGGGGTTTTGGAACCAAGGCAAGCAAGAATTCATGATGGCCTGTACATCCGTTGTTTTTAGTGCGGTGTTGATCGCCAAATAGATATTAATTAATGGGCCCAGTCTCTTCGATCAATCTCAGGTTCCTGGCTTCACCTTCATCATGCGCTACTCCAAGAAAGAAGGGATACAGGAAAACGAGGCGCAGCTATTGAGCTATATGGTATGCATGCATAAGCCATGTGCATATCCCCTTCGTGAGGTCGCCAACGGCCATGTCCCTTCTCTTTTCATCTCTCCTATTGTGTTTGCAGGTGCCATGTCCACATCCCCTTCATGAAGTTGTCAAGGACCATGTCCCTTCTCTCCTGCAGGTGGAGCAGGAAGACAACGCTTCCTTTTGCACAAGTTTCCTGGCCAGCTTTTGTCACAACTTGCCATCAGAGAGTGAAATGAAGGCCAGTTCAATTCGGTATTTGCTTTTTACCATCCTTTACCAGTCATTCAAAGTCCCTGTGCCATGATGTGCATCTGACAGAATATATGACGTATATTTTATATTAAAAAAATTGGTAAAGTTCACTTCCGCTCTGTGTTCAGGCAGCTCTTTGTTGGACAAGCGAGCATTTTGCCATCAACCAGTTTGAAAACCATGCAGCCCATGTGGCCACTTGGATAAAATACTTTAAAGATTGCATTCTGAAACCAGCATGCGGGCAATCAACTATATGCGTTTCCATCCTTCCAGGCATGGGCCTCGGTAGAGGCAGGAATCCAGAGGTCCTTCATGAGCTACTGCCTTCTACGGTTCCAAAAGAATCCACAAGCAAGGCAATTTCCTCAACATCTTTGAATGCTTGATGTCACAATCCAAAAGGTTGGATTGGTGCATCATGCATTGATTGGCCAGGTCATCGAAGTCCAAAATGGCCATCATCAAAGATGTCATTCGCAAGAAGTTGGAGGTGCAGTGTGCCAAAACCAGCGTATCAATCTAGACTCCATGATAGCACGCATGCTTGTATATTCCTGTAATGCACACCTGCCGTCAGATGGAGGGCATGCTCACCGACTGTGGTAAGAAGGTGGCCAGCCGGGGGCGATCAAAATCTAAGGCTAGGGTCATATTTCTTTCTGTCGAAGTCTGTTTTCAAGCAAGCAGGCCAGAGCACTGCAGCATGTTGTAGTTTCAAAGCTTGGCAGGAGGCCTTCTATGTGCAGGAGGCCGATCTCAGCAACATCAGGGAGGAGGAGGAGGAGGAGGAGGAACACGAGGTGGAGGTCGTGGAGATCGTGGAGACTGGTCTAGCGGAACCTGCAGGTTGGGGTGCAGCTTTTCACTGTTTTATGCCAAATTGTGCTCTGGGCAGGTGTGGCTGAAGTCCAAAGAGCAGATTCCATCAATCCTGACAACGTGGATACTTTGCCACTCCCAATGGAGACTGAAGAACCTGCAGGAGACCAAGGTGAGCACAAGGACATTGAAGACGAAGGTGAGGAGGAGAAGCCAATGGAGGTTGACGTGCACGAACCCAACAGTGCACAGCTTGAGGTGATGGAGGTGCCAAGTGGCCAGAAGACAGAGAAGCCTGAAGAGCCTCATGAGGTCCAGGAGGGCGAGGCAGAAAAGCCTGACAAGCCTCATGAGGTCCAGGAGGGCCAGCCAGAAAAGCCTGAGGAGCCTCACGCTGAGGAGAGCAAGATGGAGAAGGTTGATCACGTTGCTGGCCAAGGGGCTATTGACCAGGCTTTTTTGCATGACAGCCAAATGCCGGACGATCGTGACGATGATGAATCATATCAGACCCCGGATGAGGCTGGTTCTGATCCCACAACGTCGACTGCTACAGGTGGAGCAAGTGGAGGAAGTGGAAATGCATCTGGAGAAGCGGCGGCTGAGGCAAAGGAGGAGATTTGGGAAGACTGGCATTGCTCTGATGGCGAGGATGCAGATGGCACCAAGAAAGGAACTTTCAAGGACCGCAAGCCTTTGCGTGCAACAGCACCTTTGCACAATGACAAGGTGGTGGATAAGTGCATGCTGCTGATGAGGGAATTGCTGAAGACAAGAAACATCCCATGTTCTGAAGAAGACCTTCTAGAGGCAAGCCGGTCGTCAATTGTTGCCTTCTTCAGTTCTTCTATTGGATCTTGAGTTAAACATACCAGTGCAAGCATTGACTATTTGAATTCTTGGTCATGTCCAAGGCACTCCAACTCTGCATTGACTCTTGTTCCTGGCAGGCTCAACGCAAAATGAGGCAGGCTGCAAAGGAGATGGAGGGAGCAGACGAGGACCATGAGGACCCTGACAGAGCTCTCAGGGAGGAAGAAGATTCTGAAGAAGGTGCGAAGAAGGGCAGAGGCCGAGGACGAGGACGAGGGCAATCAAAGGGGAAAGGAAGAGGAAAAGCCAGGGGAAGATCTGCGCAAGAGAAGGCAGCCAAGACCCCACCAAAGGCAAGCAAGAGAAAGCGTGACAAGGAGGCTGAGGATGCAGAGGAGCCAAAGGAGGCAGAGGAGCCAAAGGAGCCTCATGAGCCAGAGGCACGTGAAGAGCCGCAGCCAAAGATCAGCAAGACCAAAGCGAAGCAACTCATAGCTTCGGCTGAGAAGTGGAGCCCCAAGAAGCGCCATGCTCCGAGCGGAGACGTTGAGGAGAGGCCATCGAAGCGGACCAAGCAGGCCTTGGAAATGGCAAGGGGTGCCAAGGCTGCGAAGGGAAAGCCTGCGGCCAAGCCAGTGGCCCGCAAGCTGACTCCAGCATTTGATGAGGCTGCTGACTCAGAGATCGATGGAGGGGCCAAAGCACTCAAAGGAAGAGAGGTAGCTGCGCCCAAGGCAAAGGCAGAGCCCAAAAGGA